AAAAGAAGGCACACGGGTGCAGATTATTATCCTGGGACCTCTGGGACAAGACGGCCCCCACACCAAGGTCAGATGCATCCACTTCTACGAAGAACTGTTTAGAAGGGTCAGGATGATTTAATACAGGTGCAGTAGAGAATCGTGCTTTCAACTCACCAAATGCCCTCTCTGCCTCAGGGGTCCAGATGAAGGTTTTTAAAGAGGAGGTGAGTTGTGTGAGGGGTGCTGCAATCCGACTGTAGTCCTGTATGAATCTGCGGTAGAAGTTGGCAAAACCGAGAAATCTCTGCAGAGACTTACGATCCGTAGGGGTTGGCCAGTTTGAGACAGCCTGAACCTTTTCTGGGTCTGTACGAAAACTACCTTTTTCCAAGATGAACCCCAGAAAAGACACAGAGGTGGTGTGGAACTCGCACTTTTCGGCTTTCACAAAAAGTTGATTCTCCCCTAGTCTTTGCAGCACGGCTCGTACATGTTGGTGATGTTGTTCTTCATTTTCTGAGTAAATCAAGATATCGTCCAGATATACAAACACAAAGATATTCAGGAAATCACGTAAGATATCATTGATTAGGGCTTGGAAAACCGCTGGTGCATTGGTTAAGCCAAATGGCATAACCAGGTATTCAAAATGGCCAAGGGGAGTTTTAAATGCGGTCTTCCACTCGTCGCCGTCTTTAATACGGACCAAGTGGTATGCGTTCCTAAGATCTAATTTGGTAAAGATCTTGGCCGCATGGAGACGATCATGGATGGAGTCGATGAGTGGAAGGGGATATTTATTTTTAACAGTAATGGCATTAAGCCCTCTATAGTCAATGCAGGGGCGCAGGGTCTTGTCTTTCTTAGCTACAAAAAAGAAGCCTGCCCCTAGTGGTGATGTAGAAGGTCTTATTAAGCCAGCTGACAAAGACTCTTCTATGTAGTTTTTCATGGCATCTCTCTCTGGGCTGGATAGGTTATATAAACGACTTGAAGGGAAAACTGCATCGGGGATCAAATCAATGGAGCAATCATAAGGTCGATGCGGAGGTAATGAAGATGCTTTTACTTTGTTAAAGACGTGTGCCAGATCATGATATTTTTTTGGGACTTTAGATAGGTCAAGGTGTGGGTCTTCCCCTTCTTTGTTTAATGAAGGGGAGACGGCGGACTTCAAACAATGCAAAGAGCACTGGGGGCTCCAACTTATGACTCTTTTCTCCCTCCAATCAATAAGTGGGTTATGTTTTAGCAGCCACGGATAACCAAGAACAAGTTGTGGGGTAAAAGAGTCAAAAACAAAAAACTCACTTGTCTCGTGATGATTTCCAGAGATGACAATAGGTAGATCGGATATTTTACTTGTTATCCTGGTCAGTGTCTCTCCTGTGATTCCTGTGATGATACGGGGTGTGGTTAGGTTGATGACCGGTAGTTGAAGTTGTTCCACCAAGCCTTTGGAG